CCGGTCTAGATTTCCTCCACAGTACCCCATATGCAGCGTACTTTTCTCACCGAAACTGTCAGCTACGTCTTCCTGTTTGTTCCTTCCGCGCCAGAGCTCCTTTGGATTCACCATTAATAGTGACCGTGTCGAGTAAGTTTCTATTGAAGTGTCCCTGTTGCTTCGCCACACGCTCCACGGCCTGTCAGATTTGACGTGAGGGGTGCAATCGACCTTACGCGCCCTGTCGTCTCGTCGGCGATTTCTCGGTGGAAGAGTGGAGCAGCTGCGAGGGTCGGCACCATGCCGGACAGTCAGTCGGTCCGCGACATTCTCGACGTCATGCCCGACCCCTGGGCCTGGCACCTGGTGAGTACAAAGACACTTCCACCTGAACGCCGAGTGAAGAGCAAGAGGAAGAAATGGTACCGGAACCAGTTCCCATAAACGTCTTCTTAATAGGTTTTGACGGTTTAAATTGATGAAACACGTCTTTGTCTAATTTTAAACAATTTTTAGAACCCAAATAAACTCAAAATATGGACGAATAAGCTCCTTTTATGGATTGTTTCCGGCTTTTGTTATTCTTCTTGTTCTTCACTCGGCGCTCTGGTGAAAGTGTCTATCGCTGCGTGTATTGGGATGTCATGCCACGAGGGAGGCATTCTGAAGTAGATCGGGTCGGCCACTAGGCGTTTCAAAGCGTTACACACAACACTGATATTCACAATGAGATACTTACTTTCAAAGTGATCACCTATTCCGTTCAGGAACGTGAACGTGACTCAACGTTGAAACGAATGTGACAAAACGTTGCGTTCTTTTGGGCATAGTGTCACATTCATTTGAATGGGAATAAGCTAATAGACACTTCAAGCCGGGCCAGAGGCGAAGAACAAGAATAACTTAAACCGGAAACAGCTGCCACAGAACGCTCATTAATAGAGTACTCCAAAGAAGCTGTGGCCCGGAAGAAGAACAAAAACGGAAGTAAGAAATTGCAGTGTCTATGAGAATTATACGCTGCGGACCCTCATGCGCAACGTACATTTCTCATTGATACTGCAATTTCTTACTTCCGTTTTTGTTCTTCTTCCAGTGCTTCTTTAGAGTACTCTATTGATGATGGGTGTTTATTTCTCATCTAAACATTCAAGAAAGCTTACTTTCATGATAATTTGAATGAAATCTGTCAAAACCCCCGACAAAGGCTGATTTATTATACTGTTTCCGCACACTAAATGCTTATGGACTTTATGTCGCTTTATGTCCATAACTATGGCCGTATTTGTGCATACTGAAGTTATGTACAAATTTGTACATAAATTAGGTACAAAGTTTTACATACTTAAGCACAATATAGAAATATTGTTCCTAATTTATGTACTTGTACATAAGTTCTGTGTGTACAAAAACGGCCATACATTTAGTGTGCGGTCTATATTCTTCTTATCCTTCACTTCAGGCTCTGCTTGAATGGTCTTTCCTCCACGGAACGTTTCACTTTGTCACATTCGTTTCTTGTTTTCCTGCCACTTTTCTGAAATGGTAATGTTATCCGCGGTGACACTCAATCAGCGTTGTTTCAAAACTGCCGCAGCTGCGGGCAGATTTGACCTCACATTTCTGCTTCGTCTTCAACTCAAAATCGACGTATATTGCCAGTTTTGCGACTTGAGTGCGTGAAATTCATCGCAGTTTAAGTGCGGTTTGGCTACTTATCATACATTGTGTCGGGGTCGAGACTATCACACCATTATCATGTATCGTGTACAGTATAGTTGTCATAGGGGTCAGAATTCGACTCAGGCAGGGTGTTCAGTCCGATTTAGATCACAGTGAAGGCAGGTATACGCCAGACTTCGTCTTGGCGTATCAGGCTTCGCGATGCTACGCCAGTTTCGGCCATCTTCACTTGTGTTCCTTTGGTGTTCGTGGTCTCGCATGACTTAGCGCATACGTTTTTCTTATAAATGTACGAGGAAGCGGAAGAAGGGAATAATTTCACTTTTCTCCGAGATCATTTTGTTTTACAGTGCCTTTTGACGGTTTACATCGTTGAACGATTTAATTTGGATCAATTCTATTCGAGAAAATGCACTTGGGAGAAAAAGGGAACTTAACTTAACCCTTTTACGCTCTCAATTTAGCGGAAATTACACGCAGCATAATCAAAGTCAACATGAGACCGTTTAAAGTATTGCCCGTACACTGCGAAAAAACCACAGTGAATCTCGTTAATTATTTTGCCGGGATTTACTGTAGTTCAGAACACAGGATTTACTGTGCCTGGCTACAGTATTTACTGTACCTTGTACAGGATATTCCGTACTCCACTTCTGTGGTACAGTAAATCCCGTACAAAGTACAGTCACTCAAAAAAATTTCAACACAAAATTCTGTAACATGGTTACGCAGTAATTTCCACTACAAATGTTACAGAATTTTGTATCAGCACTGATACAAAATTTTGTATCACGCGTTACGGTAAACTGTTTCCCGGTTACAGAATTCTGCAATGCAAAAATCAGAAAAATTTGTCGTTTTATAAACAAAATTTGAACCTCAACGATCGTTCATTCCTACACATTCGCTCCGTCGCTCCTGTACTCCCGAACACCCGGAGAAACCGAACTGCGTTCTCCGGAACCGAACCCCGATCCCCCGGATTGCCAGCTCGTCATGCTACCGCTTGCGCCACAGCGCCGTATGGGGAGGCAAGGATCCTGTAAAAAAGGTACAGTAAATCCTGTACTCTGAACTACAGTGACAGCTGTACTAATCACTACAGGATTTACTGTGATTTTTTCCCACAGTGTAGGAAGTAACTTAATCTTGGTTTTAACAATTAATTGCAAATAGAATCAAGTCAACTCTACCTCCTCTTTATTTGAAGGTATATATTAGAAAAAATATCCGAGTCCACAAAATATTGATGGTTTATCCAGTACACTGTTGGAAAAAATATGTTGTAAATAAACAACATTTTTGCTGCTAATTTTTTTTCAACACATTTTGTCATATTACAAACCTGTTGTACTCGGCTGTTTTCTGATGAACCGATTGTTGTGAAACAACACATCCATCGAGTCTTCTATTTTGACTTGGCCACATTTGTGTTTGCCTAATCGTGTTGTAAATTAACATGATGACAACAATGTTCGTTTTAGAATCATACGATCGTTGTTCATGAACAGAAAGTCTGTTGAATGACAACATAACTGTTTTTAGTCACGATTTATTGCTTTCAGACAAGAAAGTTGTAATAAAACAAAAGGAGTGTCTATTGGATGGATATCCTGTGCATACATCAAACAGACGTGTTGTTATACAACAATATCCCTGTAGGATATTGTGTTGTAACATTACAGTGGACTTTTAACTGTGTAAAGTTGTCTGTTTCCAAGAAGAAAATACAACATATTGATGGAGGTTGTAGTACGTGGTTGACGATAAAGTTAATAAGAGGCTGAGCGTGAGTGTAAGACTGACACCGTGATAGCCACTTCATACAAAGAGTCCATAGGCATTCAGTGTGAGTTCTTGAGACGATAAATAGGTGTAAAACTCGACACTTTCTACACTTTTAAACCAAGACTACAGTAAGTCCCGTCCTGACCATCTGTAACGTTTCTGACATGTTCGTGCTTTCGATTTTAGGTTGATCCCGCTGGCCGCCTCCCTGGAGAGCTCATGGTGGAAATCTTCGGTCATCTGGACCAAGAAAGTCTGATCAATGCTGGACAGGTATTAAGATTCGTCGAACTCTGTTTGATAGGGTTTCTATAAATTGACGTATATAAAATAATCTTAATTTCACAATATTTTTTTCTTGTTTCGGGTGAAGGGGATGGGACGAGTTCCAACACCTCCAATATTCTTTTTGCTTCCCTGAGAAGCCTTTCCCTGTTTTTCTTATGCAAAACGAGAAAATATTCTATTTGAAGGGTGAATGGGGAATGGAACAGCACTGCGCTTTTAAATGGTGGCGAAAACAGCCACATTGTTTGAACCACATTGTACTCAATGTCATCCTGCGTCAGGCATCGTGTTCGCCTCCTCGTTCTTTTCCGTGGAACGTTTAGATTCGACTAGCTCATGACTTCTCTACGAAACGAGCGACATTTTATGGGGATCCTTAAGTTCAATCACAGGTAGTGTTATCATTAATTTCTGGTCAGGTTTAGGATCAGGAACTACTAGAACTTACGGTTCACCTGGTGCTTTTTCGATCACGAAAGTGCATCAAGGTGCACCTTTCTGGTGTCAAACATCCTGATTTCGATATATGATCATGATCGTCGTTCTGAGTGACGCATTCTTGAAATTCCGATCATATGTTTTCCCGTAAACGCACCAGTGATCACCTATTCGCATATTCGGGATCTGATCAAAATTTTGGGCATAGAACTCGACGAAAACTCTCCCCTGTGATTTGCCTGCTTTTCTGCCCTTTAGGTCAGCAGACGGTGGCGTGCTTTGGCCAAAAGGCAGTGCTTGTGGAACGCTGTGGACCTCCACGACACCATGAGCGCCCTGCACTGGCAGGAATTCTGCGTGAAGTACGAGGCGCCATCGGAATTTGGTACGCGATTAATCTGTGAAGTTCCGCGCACACTACAAACCTAACTGTCTACTAAGTACACACTTAAAAATGCATGCTTGCAAGTACACATTTACAAACGCATGCTTGGTCAAGTACACAATTACAAATGCATGCTTGCAAGTACACACTTACAAACGCCTGCTTGACGCCGCGTTTCCTGTTATTCCAGCGGACATCATAAACCTTGAGGTGCGTCGGTTCTTGAGGAAACTGGTGTCAGCACCATACTTGCGATCTCTGGTCTTGGACTCGAGCTCCGGCATAATTGACGCACCCTTGACAGCCATCCTGTGGGCCCCGATCTCAAGGGTAAGGGCAAAAGGCAGAAAGATGACCTTCTTTTCAAGCAGTGCATGCACTCTCAGCACGTTACTGAATTTTTGCTCATTTTGTCACTATAAGTACTTATGCAAGTAATTTGTGCAACCATAATACGTACTTTTTGGCCCGCCCTTCTATTCAAAAAATAGGGGGAGGGCCTATGCATTTGCCTTTGTGTCTGTGTGTTGTTGTTGTTGTTGTTGTTGTAGTTGTTGTTGTTGGCGTCTGTGTACAAGGAAGGAGTTGAGCTAGAGTAACCAGATTTGGAGGGTACTTCAGGAGTACCGTCCAAACAAAAAATCCGGTGGTGCAAATCCCGTCCGGGTCGCACAAGGGCTGCTGCAGGTGCATCATGGTTTACATGAGCGGGAGGGGGATTTCCGCCATTATTGGTGCTAGCAGGGCACATAGGGGTATTTTTGGAATCGGGGCGACGAGACAAGATGAATGGACCTGGTCCCGACCCCATCGGCCGCTTTTACAAGTTGGCCAGATCAGGATCTTCAAAAAAGGGGGTCGACCGACTAAAAAATTTTATTGCAGATTTCGATTGGTCTCAGCAAGACCTTTTCAACGAGGGGTCGGAAAGGGGGTCCAGGTGCCCGACTTCGTATATTAGTCACATCAGGATCTTGAAAAAAGGGGGTCGCCCGCCTGCAAATTTTTACTTAAGTTTTGGATAGGTCTTGGCAAGACCTCTTCAACGAGGGGTCGGAAGGGGGGTCCAGGAGCCCGCCTTCATGAGTTATGGGAAAAAGTGCGACGGACTCGTTTTGCGCTCCTGCTGTGCCTCTATTGCAAGGAGTTGCAGCAGCATGGCAAATATGGGTATTTTCGGAATGAGGGCGAAGAGACAAATGAAATGGGCATATTCTAAGGACTGTTGGAGCAAAAAGTGTAAGGACTATTGCATACTGTGAATAGAAGGGCGGGCCTAAGTCACGATGGTACATCGATAACTTTGCTTTACCCGCTCACGGTGTGCGTGATGCGAGCGGGCCGAAGGCCCGGGCCTTCGACTGTCCAAGTTGGGTCTGATGCGAGGGCCGAAGGCCCGAGAAAAGGCCGCCGGCAGGCCAAGCTGGGCCGGCCCCCTGTCGAACCGAGTTGCCGGCGCAGCGAAGCGGAGCTGGCAACTCCGTTCGACGGAAGGGCGGGCCCTAGCTTGTTCTTTACTAAAGAACTAGTTCGGAAATACTAAATGATCTACTGACGATTTGGGTATGTTCATATTTTTACAAAGAAAATTAATCATCCTTAGAAAATACTATAAGTATTTCTGTTGCTTATATATGAACACATAATTGATGAGGAATAAGTCAGTAACGTGCTAAAGTTTTGATTGAACGGTTACTGTTGGTACGAAATAAAAAATAAATTGTAAGAATGCTTTTCATTTTTTATGGTTGGGTTTTTTTTTTTTTATTCTCTTTGGAGGGGAGAACTTGCCCTGCGACGAGTTTCAACGACTGCTGTTGAAAAAGTTTTCGGGGAGCGTAGAAGTTCTAAAACTCTGGAATCTGACAACAGAACATGTACCAATCATCAATAAAATGGGGAATTTGAAGGTAAGATACTTGTCTCGCGGTTAAACCACCCTCCTTCGGAACCGTGCTTCATAATACAATCTCACAGCTGTGCACTAAGTACACATTGGATCTTCGAGTAATCAAAATAATTGCAGCCTGTTTTTCTGTGCCAACACTTCACAGCCGAAGTAGCCAGTTAAAAAGGCTCTTTTATCGCTAATATTGGTGTTGGTTGCAAAATGTTGCAAGTGCTGTAAACTGGGGTTTTGAGGCAATTATTGGGCAATCGGAGACAACTTTGGGTTAACTAGAGGCAAAAATAGTATGTACCTTGCACAGGTAGGCTTAGACTTACATTGTAAAAAATTCCGTACTTTTGTACGAAATAGTACTGAAAAATATATTACGGAGGTACGGAGAAAAGTACTGAATGTTCCGTACTTGCTCCATATGAACCCATGTAAATGGGTACGGAAAAAAATTATGGAACGTTCCGTAGTTGGCAAGTACAGACGGTTCAGGCAAATTGTTGACCAGACATGTTCCGTACTTTTCCGTACTTTTTTGTCACTGTGTATGCTTTCAATACTCCGTAAGGTATCAAGCGTGTAGGCGAATTACCGTGAGAGCGTACGACAGTCCATCTTAAAGAGAGCGCAAATTGGTCACGCGCATTCCCATGCTGGAAAGTTGTACCATTGCAGGGTGCGATGAATCCTGGAAATTTGCTAGACTCGCTTCAATCACACTCTAAATTCTTATGAACTTTTTAAATGCATAACGACGCATTTTTGTGCATAGTTATGCATGCGCAGAAACGTCCATAAGGTATGTATAAAATTATGCATCACTGTGTACATTTTATGCAGGAAGATGCATAAAATGTACATAGTGATGCACAATATTATACATAACATATGGACGTATCTGTGCATGCATAACTATGCCTAAAAAAAGTCCATTTATTTTTTAATTTAGTCTGCAGAAAATTTAGCGCTGAAAGAATCTCGTAATGTAAGACTGTGCTCTTCTCGCAGGTGCTGCATTTCTCCAACGACAAGCAGTGCAACGGCGTGCCGCTCTTCCTGCCTCGCGATCGGTGCGGCGCGCCTGCGACACTGGTCGAGCTGCGGCCCGCCCTGGGGCGCACCAAGATGGGGCTCGGACCCGCGGCCTGCGACAAGATGGACGACGAATACGCGAACCGCTGCCACGTCTTCCAGAGCACGGTGCGCTCCCTCGTCGAGGTGCACGCCGAGACGCTCGAGGTGCTGCAGCTGCCGGGCCACGTCAACGACCGCATGCTGAGGTATGGTGGGCACTCCTCGGGAGAGAACATGGAGAAGAACTGAAACGAACGTTAGAAAGAAATCGCGAAGAGCTAAGCTAGGAGAAACAATTGCAAAACATCTTACACCCACTGCAATTCGAAGGGTGAGACATCTAACCGATTTTCGGTGATATCGAAAGTATGACTGGAAAACGGTCATAGACAGATGTATGACCAAAAAAAGGTCAGACATCAGCGTGAGTGGCCTTTCTTTAGCTTGGGGATACATCAACCTTTATCGGTGATATACTATAAAGTATGACCATTTTTCGGTCATACATCAAAGTGTAGTCCTTTTTCGGTCGTACATTTCAGTATGACCCTTAAGGGGTCAAAAGTCTGACTTTTCTATTTTCAGTGCCGAAATAATCAGTCAGTCATGTGATTCAAAATTTCTTAAAAATTCATGAAATTCAGGCAAAATTTCAAGAAATTTTTCAAAAATTGCACGACAAACCTAACTCTCTACTAAATAATCACTTAAAAACGCATGATTGGTCAAGTACGCACTCACCAATGCATGCTTGACAAGTATACTTGGGCTACACGGTGAAAACGATTCCAGTTTTTCCCAGGAATGGCATGGAAATCGCCTAGGTCTTTACCATAGGCTTTCTGGGAAAACCAGTTACAGTTTTCACCGTGTACAAACGCATGCTTTGCCCGACACGATAGAAACGGTTCCTGTTTTTCCCAGGAACTCCCTGGAAGTCGCCTATGCCTTCACCATTGGCTTCCTGGAAAGCCAGGTTCCGTTTTTACCGTGTATAACTCCGTACTAAGTATAGGCATTTGTAAGTGTGTACTTTCAAGCCTGTATTATTTGTAAGTGTGAACTGGGCTGAGCATGCATTTGTAAGTGTGTACTTGGTGCGCCAGTTAGAGTGTGATTGCAGGCATGCTCCAGCTAGAGCATGTGCGCTTTTCGGCTTGTATAGTACAAGAGCGCCCCTCGTTGTGTTCCCGCAGTGCGCTGCGGAAATGCCGCCGACTCTGGAAGCTCTTCGCTCCGCTGCAGCCCCGGCTGGCCGAGGTGTGCGCCGCCGTGCCCAGCGTGCGCCAGCTCAGTGTCCGCTTCGGAAGCTGCAAGGCCAGTGCCCGGCATCTGGCCGTGCTTTCTCAGCTGCCGCCGACGGTCGAGGTACGGAGGCGGCGGGAAAGGGCAGTTCTTTGCGCTCTTAAAACCTTACGAAGTATTTTGAACATACATATCACCAACTAATTTGCATTGATATACGAAGAAATCTTTCTTAAATTACGAAGTATTTTCTTTGTAAGCTTATGTATGCTCAAAATACTTTGTTATAACAAACTATTTTTCTTTGTAAGGCTCAAAATACTTTGTAAGGTTTTCTCAGTGTGATGTGTGAAACCTACACTTTTAGACTTGTACTGCGCTCTAAATGTCTTACAATGAAATTTGACCTGTGATATTCATATGTTACAAATTCGGCGAAAGCATGCACTGTAAAAGAAGTCTTATTGTGAAGATTCTCCATATTATGGCGAAAATTCTCTATATTATGGTGTTTGAACTTACAGTTTCAAAATTCATTTCACTTTGATGAATTTCTTTCGGATTATGGAGAAAATCTCCACCGTAAGATGTTGGTGCAGCCTTTCACGTAAGACATTTAGAGTGTAATACGAAACAATATTTCTTCGTGATGCGAATCTTATTAGCTTTTTCCTTGTATGATACAAAGAAAAACCACCTTCGTATTATGCTTCCGCCATTTCCTTCTTAGTATGGGAAATACATTGCAAAAAAATTTCTGAAATTTAAGACATGAAAATGTCTTAAATTTAATAACATTTTGAAATGATGTGAAAACTCAGAAAAGTTTGTGAAAAGTGCTATGCTTTAGTACATTTACCAAAACTAAAATGAAAAGTAATAAATAGTTGGTAAATTTCAAAACCACTTTTAAAACTTAGAAACTGGGTTGTCGAAATTAAGATTGCCTGCCAAAAGTAAAAATTTGTTTCTCAAAATCCACATGACTGATGACTTTTCATAACTAGATTTCTGAAACTAACTGATTGAAGTTTAAGTTGAACGCTTTAGTGATAGCTGTCATATTCAACATAAACTAAAGGTTTAGTTTGATTACTTCACGCAAACTGTCGACAAGCCACTTCTCACACGGTATGGTCCACAGTCAGCCGCTGGGTTTAAGGTCAGGTTTCGCAGACCAGCCGCTAGGTGGCGCTTGGAGCGCCGTGTCCGTTCCCGAATAAGTATTTCCTATTTGTATTTCTAAAAGAACTTCTTTTGGCAAATGATACCATCTGTTGCCTTAGTAAATGTCTTCTCTAGCCGCTAGCTCAAATTTTTAAACAAAATATTCCACTGAAATTGAGAAAAACGCATAACTATGTTGCCACTCGCTGGCGTCTGCTGTCGGCCATTAGGTTAGGTCCAGGCACCTCCTCTGCAGTGACACAGTTGAACGCTGGAAGACTCACGATTCTTCTGCCTTCGTACGTCGACTCATTTTTGACAATCGACTCTTTTAAGGGTCAAGATGAAAGATGTATTTCGGAATACCGTGATCCATATTCGAAATCAGAAGTTCTTTCTCTTCGCTTCTATCACTTTATAGTCAAATATATTTATGAATTTTAATAAACCATAATCTATGAATTTTAAAAACTTGGTCATTAGTTTTAAGAGGAGAAAGTTTCTTACTTTTAATAGCAAAAAATCTTTGTAAACTGCTTTACAAACTAGTTTCTTAAAATTAAGATGGATTTTTTTTTGCAGTGTTACGCTTGAATTCGTGCATTTCACGCACATGCTCAATAACAATACTAAGGTCAATTCTGAACGAGGTGGTGCGGTCTATGTTCTGAAAGATTGCTCAATTACTTGCAAAAACTGTTGAGGTTGGAGATAGTGGGCGGCTGGGGAAGCCGACACCTGGTTTTCTTCTTCTCTTTCGTACACACCTACTGTCGTACGTTTGGTGACGCGATGGAGGTCAGTCTCGAAGTATTTTGAGCATATATAATACAATCTAATTTACTTTGTTATACAAAGAAATAGTTCGCAAATAACGAAGTATTTTCTTTGTAAGCTTATATGCTAAAAATACTTTGTTGTAACAAACTGCTTTTCTCTGTGAGGTCTGAAATAGTTTGTAAGGTTTTCTCCGTGTAAATGAGTCCACACTTTCTGATGTGGAGTAAGTCTCCACACTTGGAAGTGCAGAGTTTGCAGCCTCCGCACTTCAAGTGTGCAGTAGCTCACATGGCCCTTATCTCTTAGCGTGATGCAAACGTGGACAACTCCCGACAACTGCACGTTTGAAGTGTGGACACTGCAAACTCAGCACTTCCAAGTGTGGAGACTGAAAATTCCACTCCTCCGCATTACGAATGTGGAGTTGTCCACGTCTGGTTTTACAGTGTATTGCGTACATTCCGCAGGAGTTGACTCTGGTGACGTACCGCCGGTCCCCGCGCCTCGGCCGCGAGTACAAGGCGCTGGGGCAGGCCTGCCGCGCCCTGTTCGCCCTCAAGCGCCTCAGTGTCGTCTGCATCTTGTGCAAGAAGACGGTGGACGTGCCGCGCATCGCCTCGTGCTTTGAGGAGGGCGCGGGGGGAGGCGCCCTGGACCTCAAGTGCGTCGAGTTGAAGTACGTGAATCTGATGCGCTGATTTCATGACTGGACTAGTGGTGCTGTTCTGATGGACGCAGTGTTCTGTACGGTCTGGGACTTCATTAATTTTACCCACGTTTGATGGCAGCAGTTATCAAGTTCTTGATTGGTTCAGTTTACTCACGTTTGATAGGAGCAGTCATCTAGCTTTTGATTGGTTGAGTTTACCCACGTTCAGTTACAGAACATTCATTAATTTTTACCTACGTTTGATGTCAGCAGACATCAAGTTCTTAATTAGTTAAGTTTACCTACGTTCAGTTACAGAACGTTATTAATTTTTTTCCCACGGTGGATCGTTAAGGCCATCCCTGTTCCTGTGTAGTTGTTCATGTATAAAACGTACATGTTTAAGTATAGTGTTTCTTTGATTTAAATATAAGTGAAGTCTTCTGGCATTCTGTGCAATCCCTGTGAGTTCGTATGGTAAAAACTTACACTGTGTATCGTGTGAAATGTTGAACTTCACGTGTTGCTCTGTTGATGTTGGAGGGTTGAGTTGTGTTTCCATCCGGATGCTGATTGAAAAGCTTTCATTGTACGGCGTTTTTGTTCCAAAATAAACTTTGTTGAAAATGATCACACGCTTTCAAACGTAATGAAGCAAGGTGTTGCAGGCAGATGTTACGCAGTAAACTCTCTACGAAGAATCGCTTCGTAATACGACGAAAATGAAGGCATTGTAAAAGCTGCGAAGACATGCTTCCACTGGGAGAAATAATGAAGATTGTGGCTGTCAAACCTAATGCCACTCTCCACTGTTCATCGAAAGAAGGTGGTTACCGTACCGTGGGATACAGTAGACACTGTGCCTGAAGGAACGGCGTTCACTGTACCCTGGGAACCCCCATCCGCTGTACCTTGGAAACTGTTCAGACACTGCATTCAGTATACCTGTAAAATAAAGGCGAAATTCCAAAATCACGATAGGAACGATTTGATGACGGAAATGAATTTATCTTAGCAAGGCGAACATAAAATGATAAGCATATTATGGTCTCAGACTCGCAATTCAGCGGAAATCGTGGTCAGAAGTCTAAAAAAGAAGGATTTTGGACTCCAAAACATCGGACTCATCAAATAACGGTCCAAAATCCTACTTTTTTAAGCTTTTGATGCCGATATCTGTTGAATTTCGAGTCTGAGGCCATAACATGCTTATCATTTTTTGTTCGTCTTGTTGAGATGAATTCATTTCCGTCATCGAATCGCTCCTATCGTGATTTTGAAATTTCACCTTTATTTTACAGGTATACTGAATGCCGTGTCTGAACAGTTTCCAAGGTACGGTGGATGTAGGTTCCCGGGATACAGTGAACGCCGTTCCTTCAGGCACAGTGTCTGCTGTATCCCAGGGTACGGTAAACACCTTCTTTCGGTAAACAGTGGAGAGTGGCATTAGGTTTGACAGCCACAATCTTCATTATTTCTCCCAGTGTCGTATACGAAGCAATTCTTCATAATACGAAGCAATTCTGCAATGCCTGCATTTTCTTCATAGAAGCAAATACTTTACACAAGAAATGTAGATCGCTCTGAACACCAGAAACACCACCAAAACTGGCAAGGGAAGAGCCGTGACCATGGAGCTGTGAGCAAAATGAACTACAACCATGAACATCAAGCAATCAAAAGTACAATATTTTGCGAAAAAAAAAAACTTGTTTTGATCGTTTTTCAGTCACTGCTGAAGTTCTGCATGTAGAGGAGAGAATTGGGCGTTCGGTACGCTCAGACTTTGGCATAGGGTCAGTTGGGATAATAATGGGACACCTGATTCTTAGTCAAGAATCAAGATTTTAGAACTTGTGCCGTAGCAAATGGTTTTTTTCTCAATGAAAACATCACATTTGGTATGTCACCTTTTTTTGGGATACATTTGCTCGGACATTTGTGTACTACCCTTCTTTTGGTGATACTTTGTGTATTCCTCCGAAAATTAGCGAGATGTCTCACTCTTTGAATTTTAATGAAAGGAAATACTGGTTGCCGATATGCATCGGTCCCTAGGCTTGCCTAGATCTTTGAACTTAAATGATAAGGGTACAGCGAAATAGAAGCACGTCCCGATCACAACTGAAGGCGTCGTGGAAGCGTCCTCATCACGCGCCCCGCGCCAGGTCGGCGTTCAACTTGCGGATCATTGGACCGTATAGGCCCTCCGAGTCGACCGGCACGAAAGGACTGACGCCGTTGTACTTCTCGAAAACCTGGTAGGACGCGCGGGCAGACGGGGCCAGGGCGTTCCAGGTGTCGAGGACGTCCTGCAAAACGACACACCGGGTTTAAAACAAATTGATACGGTGAAAGTTCAAGGTTGGTCTCGTGAAAGAGAAGAACAACAATAGTTCCTTCAGTGTGGAAAGTAAACTGAAAGAATTACTTGTTGGCAAAGCTGGCACCCAAAATCAAATTTTCACTTTATTTCCAGAAACAGCGTTTGATCAGGTCCTTTTCAGGCATCAGGAAGAACTATCCTCTTTTTCAAATGCCTTCTGTAAGTGATCCATGAAGCGGAAGAAGGGGATAACTTAATTTTCATCATTTTTCAGAAGAAACAAAAAACTGTTTGCAGTGAAAATCAAATCCATTCAGATGAATAATGTAATTGCATTTTTGTCTAAAAAGCATCAGTAATAACTTTAAAAATTTTCTAAAGTTTAACATCACTCTGCAGACGGTTTCTGTGATTTAAATCTTTACGTTAGAATGATCTAAGGAGCCATGTTTACTTAGTTCTCCCAAACGAGATGAAATGTGGAGACAACTTAAGGGGGGACCCTGGTGAAAAAATGGCCAAAACTGCCAAAAATAGTATTTTTAAAGTTCATAGATAAAAATGTGCATAGAGGGTTTCAAATTCAACAGGTTGAACACCTTTAAACTATGTGGGTAGTTCCTTCATCATTTGGAAAGAAATAACATTGAGATCAGTTGTCGTTGGCTTATACGCTCCACTTCACAGCTTTGCTCAGTCGACAAAAAATTTTGTCGTAGAAAGACTTCCTGCGTTCCTGGTTGACACCTACATGAGTCGTCTTGCATGGACTCTATTCATTGATGACTTGTCGACAAATTTTAGTGACGGAATCTTGATATCAGCCCTACTTTTTTTAACACACACCTAAAAGTTTCAAAAAAAGGCAAAAAATTCACTTTTTTTAAATGTTAAAATTTGAAAATTGATATCTCAGGACAGAAGTTGAAATTGAAAATTCCGTCACTAAAATCTCTTCTATACATCTTGAGGATGACCCAAAAAAATTTTCAAGACTTTCCGTTCCAATGAAAGACGCAGGAAGATTTTTCCCCAACGCTCTAAAAAACATTAAAAAGCCACTTTTCTCAGAGACCGTTCAACATTTTGCATTGAATTTTGTTTTATGAACTCACCATAATGAACCTAATAATCAAGCAAAGTTTCAACTTTCTGGGATTATTTTAAAGCCTACTTGAAAGTTTCACCAGGGTCCCCCCTTAAGTGAAACTGAGGTTTGCCTAGAGTCAATATTGCTGTGGAACATTTTTTGAGTTACCTCCTTTTTCCATTAGTTTTTTTAAAATGAATTCGGAGTTAAGTTGAGTTGACTCTTTTTACAGTAGATTCATGAAGACCTAAGTTGAGTTGATGCTATTTTGTGAAACGGAGTCATGTGGACATTGGTTGAGTTGGCTCCATTTTCCGATGAAATTTAGACCATAAAAAGGGTCAAGTTGAGTTGTATCCATTTCCCACGTGGATTTTCTCCTAAACTGCTGGGAATTGAGTCAAATAATTTGGTGAAGAGATGCAAACTATCCTGAGGCACAATAATAAGATAAAAATTCAATTTGGAGATAAGTCAACTCCTTCTTCCGCTTCATGGATCAAGTATGAGCACTGGTATTTCTAATGTGATAGTTTCATTCAATTTGCTGAGATAAAAAGGCTAATGTGGTTCCTTCAAGTTATCGCATCTGTGGCAGAAATAAAAAATTATTACATTAAAAGTGCAACAAGCCCCTTAGGTTTTGGCCGGTCTGGGCCCAGACCATCACAGTTTTGATGTGAAAAAATGATAACTACGCTAATAATGCGATAAATGCGCTAATTTCATACAATAATTACTGCACTTATACTCTACAAACTCAAGTGTGTACATAGTACACTTCAACCTGAAGTGTACATGCAAGTACACTTCAACCTGGAGTGTACTTGGCATGTACACTCCAGGTTGGCGTGTACTTGCCAAGTACACGCCAGGTGGCGCATACCTTCAGGTACACTATTGCTGGCTCCTGCAGGTATGAGCCACCTGGCATGTACCTGGCAAGTACACGCCAACCTGGAGTGTACATGCCAAGTACACTCCAGGTTGAAGTGTACATGCATGTACACTCCAGGTTGAAGTGTACATGCATGTACACTCCAGGTTGAAGTGTACTATGTACACTCCAGGTTGAAGTGTACTATGTACACACTTGAGTTTGTAGAGTATTGCAATAACTTTTTCATGGTGCTACCAATGCAACAAAAACGTTAATGCTTTTTTAAATTAGTTCATTATTCAGAAAATCAGTGAGGACTCTTTGCATCTTTTTCCAAACCTTTATCCTCATAGTAACAACGCCATTGAGATTTTGACAACTCGATTGAAAATAAAATAGAATCGTCAAGGAGTCGAGGTAAGAGCATTATCAAGCCGATGGTGGGAAAGAACCGATCTAACAAAACTCCGACTGAACGCCGCATTTCAATAATTTCGAGAAATGTGGAAATTTATTCCGTTTTAGGTTGCCGACCTGAGTTAATTTCTTTCACCCGAGAGTCAACTTTTCTCCTCGTGTGAGTTTCTAGACAATGGTGCACGGACGGTGATGTGGTGACCTTCGAGCCTGTCGGTCTCAATTTTTCGGGCAGTTGTTATCTTCAGCATCGGGTGTAGATTCTGCATCGCCCTCGATCCAATCATTAGCGAAAAGGCCAGGGGAAACCAGTGTAGGATGGCCACCTTGGTGACCCCGTTTCACGTTTCAGTCTCACCTGTGGAACGGTGACACTGTCGCTGCCGAGGGCGTAGAAGTTGCATGGCACAGTGGTTGCAGCTATGTTCACGTCTTCAGGGGTGGTTCGGTTGTATCGCCTCAAGTTCTCAGCCGGGCCGTAGTCGTAATACTTCATGTACTTAACTGAACCGAACAATCACACAATGAGCCGCGAGTGTTGTGTAAGGCTGTAAGCACGCACAAGGAAACTGCTGTACTTACTCCTGCCAACTTGTTGAAGGAAATAGTTGAAACCAGTTATCGATGTGCTGTCCAGTATGTTCGCAAAAGCATAAGGAAAGTACGGCTGAAAATAAAATTCGAGTATTTCAAGCCAAAGGTAGAACAAAATGCTTTTTTTTCTCGAGATGGTCGCAAATTAACCCAAAGCTTAAGAGTTTAGTCAGTGCACACGTGGAAACGAGTCATTTGTAGGTACGGACTTTGAGGTGTGAACAAATTGAAGCACGCACTTGAAAGTGCATGAAAACTACACTTTTCTTTTTAGGAGCGCGTGACATTACGTTGAAACGAGCGTGACATAATGCTCAAAGGAGTGTGACGTGTTCTCACGCTCGTTTTAATGTGATGTCAAGCTCCTATGAGAGAATACGCACGTCGAAGGGGCAGCCACATGGGATGCTTGTGGACACAAGATTTTTTAAGGCTAAAGATATCGCAAGATTTTAACCGATATTCCGCCCAAAATAAGGTTGTTTTTGCACTGCGAGAAAAGATCACGGTAAATCCTGTACTGATTACTCCAGACTTCACCGTACTTTTTTTAACAGGCAAAACCGTCGTTTTTTTACAGGCAATACCGTACTTGTTTTACAAGGAATCCCGTACTTTTTTACCCGGCAATCCCGTACTTTTAATATCTATCAAAAACTGCTATAATTTATTTCAGTCGGTCGACCCTCGTTTTTCAAGATTCTGATGTACATAACTGCTGAAGTCGGACTCCTGGACCCCCCTTCCGACCACTCGTTGGAAAGGTCTTGACGAGACCTATCGAAAGGTGCAATAAAATTTTTCAGTCGGTCGACCCCCTTTTTTCAAGATCCTGATGTAGACAATTCTTGGGAGCGGCCTTTGTTGGGACCAGATCTGGTCCTTCCTACGGCATGCACTGTACGAAAGAACGGTAACTACTGTTAAAAAACTACGGAATATTTTGTAAAACAAGTACGGAAAATACTGTAGACTGTACGGTGGATACTGGTTTTTGAAGTACGGTAAAGTTTGGCAAAAAAATTATCCAGGATTTACCGTCATTTTTTCTCAGAGTGTGGCCTGTTTTGAGGCAAGATTTCAGATTTTCCAGAGATTTCTAGGCCTAAAGGGACACAAGATTTCTACACTACAAACCTAACTGTCTACTAAGTACGCACTTACAAATGCGTGCTTGCAAGTACACACTTACAAACGCATGCTTGACGCCGTATAACTCCATGCGTCAAGCGTGCGTTTGTAAGTGTGTACTTGCAAGCATGCATTTGTAAGTGTGTACTTGGCCAAGCATGCGTTTGTAAGTGTGTACTTGCAAGCATGCATTTGTAAGTGTGTACTGAGTAGACAGTTAGGTTTGCAGTGTAGAGTGGTTGACCCCTCGACGCACGTACTTGAAAGACTATACATCACTACACGTGCCCTTGCTTAAGCCTACTCTTACGCACTCACGCCCCTTGTTCTCGTCAACTCACGTAGTTGATCTCCCTGGTGTTCCCTCCGAGGATCTGGAAAACGTAGTAGCACGTTTTGGGGGAGATGCGACCACACAAGTTGTACAGCACCGAGTGTATGGCTGGGTTCATGAAGGCGAGTTCGTTGTGCAGAGTCAGGGTCCGGC